TTGGAAAACTTAGTTCATCAAATTCTTGACAAGGTTTCATTCAAAGTTCTTCTCTGTCTACTGGTTTATGCCTAAAAATTCTGCTTTTGCATCAGTAATAGAAAGTAAGCAGATTAAAAAAAAATACCAAAATGCTTTTTCTAAGCAAGACTGCTTCAGGTCACATTTGAGAGAAATGAGGAAATTTTTATTATCTTAAAAAAAAAAAAAAAAAAAGACATACGGACTTTTTAGGAAAACTGCTGATGGAAGTACAGTATATGTAAATGTGGCTACTTTCCTTCCCTTTTTCAGTAATAGTGTAGTAGTGCTACTAGAATGAAAGATGGAATATTAGCTACTAAGAAAGTGAATGACTTATTGGCATGGGGAATCCTGATAAGCAAGCTTACTATTTCCTGCAAAAGCACAGCTCCTTTAGTTTAGGTCTGGTAAAAGAAGGTCCTCATTTCCAGATTTGCTACTTTCTTGTCTGTCAGGAAGACCAAAAATATTTACTCGTATTAAAAGAAAAATAAGAATGKCATGTAATGGAGTGAGAAAAAAATATTTTTCTCTCTGGATAAATGAGCTCACTCGATATTTTTCTAGCTGCAGAGGATGAACGGACAATAGCAGGAAAGCTGAATGTGCACAGCAGTGACATTGCTTTCTTGTTTATGCATTGCTGTCCTAAAATGTCATTCAAAGAATTGCTTGAAGTCGTCGGGGCAGGATGGGAGTGGGAGAGGGATGAATTTTTACGCGTTCTCAGATTGGTAGCTGAAAGGACAAGGACAACATTGCTGTTATTTTAACTTAGTTTAAACTAACTTATGAGTTATTACTCAGAGCTGGTAGTACAAACAGTCATCTCAATGGAAAATGTAGTTACTCTGACTGTGTAGACTATATAGACTATGTAATATCGTAAGTATCTAATTCACTTCAGTGAACTGGGACTGCAGTGTGAAGTAGYCTATACACTCATTCTAGAAAGGAATTATTCTTGCATAGAACCTGTTTACAATAAGAATCAATAATATAAAGGATTTTTAGAAATCCTATATAAACCTTTTAAAAATATTAATAACATTTTGAGCTCAAAATGAGAGATTATGTCATATTTGTGGTCTGTCTTCTGACAAAAATATTAGAGAGACAGGATTTAAAAATCATTTAGTATCCTACCTAACTTCATGATGTTGTWTACTGATCTTTTTTTTTGATCCTTTTTAACTATAATTTTCTTTCCTAAATCATCGTGTTTCTCTTAGAACAATCTTCTTTTTATGTTGCACAGTATCTAGAAAGATAAAAGCAAGTACAATTTTTAGTGATCTGGTTACTTTTTTAAAGGCAGCAGTAACAAGTCACATTAGTTTGGAGAGCAAGTGGCAGGAGTCTGGACAGAAAAGGGAGCTGCAGCGGTGGCTTGTCCCACGACTGATCTGGGTGCRGTGGGTCCTCATTGCCACTGGCCAAAAAATGTCCTCAAGCCTCTTGAGATAACTTGTCTGGTGGGAAATTCTACTGTAGACTTTTTAATTTCTCATATGTAATAGTGTCTCCTTTATGTGTTCTGTCCTTATATCTTTACACTGTGTGTTTGAGAGCTACCATGACTTTTTGCTTAATAAGAAACRACTCATTTTCAATGGGAGAGTTTAGGACTTAGGAAAAAGTTAAAATTCATGACAGCAATAGAGATACTAAGTAGCGATTTCTTTGTTTGTTTGCTTGTTTGCTTTTATTACCACTTAAATCTTATCCTATACAGCATTTATTTCTCGGATAACATTAGAAGTATATGGTCTGTTAATGAAAAAAAGGCTTATTATTGAAGTTAATGTTCAGCAATTGTAACTAATTCCAGTTTTTCATATTACTATTGCTTAACCTTATTAAAGCTGCAAATTGAAAAGCAAAGTGGTTTCTATTATTAATCTTCAGTCTCTTTCCCTTGCTGAAAGATGATCAGTCATTCACAAAGGGTTGTTGTATGTTTGTTATTCTTGCCTATACTGCTTTACTTTGTTAGACAGTAATTTAGCAGTCAGCAATTCACTCTCATTAAATTAGCCCTAGAGATAAAATTGGATAATATCCATAGTTGACTTTTTAGTAATGAGCTATTGCAATTCTCTTATGAAGAAGAGCATTTTCAGATCAAGACTTGTTCCAAATTTGCAGGAGTTTGTAAATCACTTTTTTTTTAATTCTCTTTTTTCTAATTGTTTTTCATTTTAGTTCCTTTATATTTTTACTACATTGAAACATATTCATTTTGAAAAAAAAAAAAAAGAATATCCAATGTCATTAAGTATTCTAGTGTTGAAGGTATAACTTTTTTTTTTCAAACTACTGTCCTCACTAGGATTGACTTATAGCTTTTTTGCTTATGCCTGAGTGGAGAAATATTTCCTTACCACATGATATTGGATATTGATATTTTTGGATGACCATTCCTTTTGGCACTTTTAGGAAGTAGGCAAGGAGTTTTGAAAGGAGTTGATACGTTAAATGAATACAATAGAGTTGGATTGGTGAGAGTTTATTAGAAATTAAAGCATTTTTGCTGTACATTGATTCTTTATTTAATTAGGATACTAAAACATTACACTTTTTTGTCCAGAAGCAATTATTTTAATTGCTCTTTCTGAGTTTGCATATACTCTTTTTAATGAAGGAGGATTAATAAAAAGCGTAAGGTACAGCAATTACTGAGTCTTGGTCAGCGATGTGTGCCAGTACTTCAATTTAATATTAATGTGCCTTTTGAAAGGGATGTCTTCTCTTGTCCCCAAATACATGTCTGAAAAGAGTACAGCTGACACTGACAGTTTCTGCTTTTAATCAAATTTCATTAAACAGAATATCTGCACCGCTTTAGATATGGCAAAAGATGAGTGTTATGCTGTACAACAGGCACTGGAATTCAGGCTCCTGATGTGTCTGTTGCTCAGGAAGCTCATCACGAAATGTTTTCCTGCTAAAACTTAAGTGGTTCAGGTAGAGATGATGAGTTGATCACATTGTATGAAATGAAAGGCTGAAGAGGCCTCTCTAGTGCTGCAAAAAATAGGTTTGGGTTTACTAGATCAACACAAACAAATGTGACTGATAAGTATGACAGATAGAAAGCTGGCGTTTTCCTTGTGGAGTTACTGTCATCTGCTCTTTGCTTAAATAAATCTRTTCAAGGATGATGAAGTTTTGCACAGACTTCTCTTTCTGGGTACCCCTCAAGGTTATCCCCTGAAGAGATTAAATTATGTTCTGTGTGAAGGTCACAAATCCATAAGTAATTTTTGACAGAATCCACTCAAGCAGTACMCTGGGAAGTCAGAAATGACATGGATTATGGAACAATTTCCAAGCAAATTATTTTCCCAGCTGCTTTGCATCACATTGCTCTCAGCATTTATATATACTGCACTTGAAAATACAAGAGTATTAAGATAGGATAATACAGTAGCTTCAATTTTTTGATTCCAGTCATAAATCTGGTTCCTGAAGCAGGAACAAATTACTAAACTTCACTCAAAATCGCCAAATATCTTCTATTGYAATTCCAAATCCTGAATTGTTGTTACAGAAATCTTAAATCATGTGTGATAGGAAGAAACTGTGGAGTAGTCTGTTATGGTTGTTGGTAGTAGTTAAGGTAAAATATATGTAGCTATGATAATATGTATGAATGATTGTCAGATAGTAATTATGGTAACATGGTAATCACTGAATTTTTTTTTCCTGATCAAATAMATTATAAAAACCTTTACACAAAATGTCTTTTAGAAAGTGTGATCTTATAGTTTATATTTCATTTGTATAGTAATGCCCTCAGTTGTATTGTTTTGACTGGCAAATAACTTGATTTRCAGATTCACATGAGCATATAAAGAGTTTCTGTGTATTTTTCCTTCTTTCTGTTGAAATTTGCCCTATTGTACCTTCCTGTTCTGTGACAAGCATTACATTTGCAACAACATTATGGTTTCTAATAAGTAAGCAAATAAATAATTCATCATAAGCATGTTTTAGGGGAAAAAATAATTGAAGGGAGCCTTTATTACAATGAGAAATGCTGAAGGTGACTTTGCTATTTTGGCTAGTACACCTGGGATAATTCCTTGCATAGAGCCCCAGTGTAATTCCAGGCAAATAGGAATTGAACATCCACACACTGTAATCACTAAATAAGTTTCTATATTTAAGTTGAAACAATTTTGCTTCTAATTAGAAACTCTCTTTACTAGAGCAGTCATTGCTCTGAAAGTCAGGTTAAGGTAAMCTGAGCTAGCTTGGTAATTGGAGGAGAGCAAAATCCTCTTTGCTGTGGCTCTACACCTTTTACCCAGAACACAAAAGTTAAATTGTGTGCAGTTTCTGTGAGCACAAGTTAAGCATTTCAGGTCTTTCTCCTTCACCTTTTTAGTATGAGAGCTGCAATTTTTCTTTTGATTAGTAAAGATTAGTTGACTCTTAGTTATCTATGGGGGAATGTTTCTTTATATTAGTAACTGTGTGGGTACTTGTTCACCCTCCTGCAAAGCCAGCTGAGTCCAGAAGGACTATTTAGTAACTCAGTTGTGGTGCTGCAAAAACATCATTGCGTTGGCTTTCTGTTGCCATGTTCTGTGAGATGTTTTTGCTTTTCCTTTGCCCCATGCCAACCAAGCCAGATGAGGCAGCACCCATGCGGTTCTGCACCAACCACACCAGGTCTAACCAAGTTGACTGCTCTGATTTGATGCTTGTCATGCCAAATGCATGTTGGCTGTCTTTCCCAAGTTAGTACTATTAAACAAGTTCTATTTCCTGTCATGTTCACTACCCCTATTACTTGCATAGTGGTTAAATGATTGTACTACTTCGCTTCCTTGATATCACACTAAAAAAAGAAGGTTAATTCACTGTGCCTAGATGATCTTGTATCACACATTCAACAGCAGAATTGTCTAAATTCAGTCAATAGGAGCAGTACTGTCCTTTCCAACACTTTGTTTCTTAATTTTCAGATATTCCGAAAGAAGGCAGTGGAACTTGGAGAGAAATTGCTACCTGCTTTCAATACTCCCACTGGGATACCTTGGGCACTACTGAATATTAAGAGGTAATATCTATTTTTTGATGASTGCAGCATATAAAAATGTTATATAGAAATCCTCTCTTAACCATAGAGCTACTGTAAATGCCTCACTATTTCAGTCATTCCAGCTAGGCAAAAGGTCACATAAGATCCTGTGTTTTACAGTTATAGTTAAGAAATTTAAATAAATATACGTTGCGTACACAAGAGTGCACTGAGCACCRTGTATATTCATCACAGAACTGACTGCTTTTCTGTTAAATAGCATGTTGCTTATCACTTTTCCTGAAGTCCTTCATTGATTTTAGTGTTGTCATAGGTAGGGTATTTGCAAAGGAGATATGCTGAGATATGCTGCTCCAGAAAGGTAAGGGTTCTTGCCAGTTAAACTACTCTGTGAAAAGCACTATTACTTTTACCTGTTGACAAACACAATACGAGCGTGTTCTAAGAAATGAGAGTAACAGCTGCTATAACCAACTCAATTTGATGCCTTGTGTCCTGAGGATTTTCTGCTTTGGCAAGTTTTGGTTTGAAGGTGGCCAGGTCGGCTGCAGGAGATGCTCCCTTTCCTGGAGCAACTCTGGCCTCCAGAGTCCCATCCAGACAAACATCAGTAAATCCCACATTGTTCTCAAGACTGCTAGGACTACTAAAGGTGATACAGTGAGGAAAAGATTCCATTTGCACTGTCTGAGGCAGAATATGGGAACATATACATGTGCATTATGTTTGCATGTATACAGGGACACATTAACTGCAGAGCTGTTGCCCATCGTAAGAACATGAAATTCTGACTATCCAGGAGAATCAAGGGAAGTTTCGTGAAGGGGAGGTAGTGCTGGTGTCGTGTTTGTGTCATTCCTGTCCTTGACAGCCAACATCTTCCACTGCTCTGTTTGGTCTGATGTCTTTTTTTTTTTTTTTTTTCCAGAAAGTTGGCCTCCTTGTATGGTTGGCTGTATTTAAGAATTGTCAGTAAACTGCTCTGAGCCAGATCTAGAGAAATCCCTGGTGTGTCAGTTTAGACAGGCATATTTTTCCACTTGCCCTACAAAAAGAAAGGATATGGGAAGTGAGAGACGAGACATGCGCACACACCTGCTGGGAATAGGAGGGATTTAGTTCCTCATGGCYTCCTCATCTCTAAAAGGGCTGGTGCCCCGTGATGCCCACTTTGCCTCTGCTGGTCACTCGCATGACCTCTTCTCAACAGATCAGCACAAGGGCTTGGCTTTTTTTTTCATTGCTTGTTTTTAAGCTGTTACCAAAGCTTCTGAGTGCAAACCTCTAGTACGCCCGTGTGATTGCAGCACAACAGTGTGTTACACTATGTAATTTATTTAAACATTATTAAGGTATTTATTAAAAAAAAAAATGTTTTATATATAGCCCGTATCTAAACCCTTACTTGTCTGCCAAATTTATTGGCAGTTTTTGCAGACAATTCAAATTCTTTGGTAGTTGTTTATGGGTTTCTGGCTTCTCATAACAAATGCTGCAAACATACACTGTGAACAGGTGATGCTAAAATGGAATTCCTTCCATATCTCTCCCCAAAATGGAAGAGGATGTTTACCAAGATAACAAATGTTACATTAAAGGCCTTGGTTTGGGTTATTCATTCTGAATCTTTGTGTATCTGTCTAGATTTGACCTTCAGGAGATGACTCTTCCATAATACTGTGTGTAAACAAATGCACTGTCRTTCAGGCTTAGGGAATGCTTAGCTACTGAAGCCTGCATATCTTACAGATCCAATATGCCTCATTTCTGATGAGTATTTTATTTGATTTTATTTTGATTTATGCTTCAAATTGGAGAATGCTCACAATAGATTGTGGGTGTCAGTGTTTATTTTTAAATGACTATTTTTGGAGTAACAGATGATCTGGATATTTGTTTTACTGTGCAAATGTTCTCCACAAAATGGTTTACTTTCTCTCTTTCTCTTGTATTATCATAGTTTTGGTCTTTCCTTGGCTGCCTGTGTGTGTAAATATATATATGTGCTTGTCTGTATGTGTTTTACTGTAATAAAGGCATACACCCGAAGTCTTGTACTTTTTCGTTTTCCATAATTTGTCTTCATCCCACTTCTTTCCTTCTGACTTAATGGCCACCCAGCACTCGTTTTTAGGAGAAGCTTACTTGTGAAATATATTAGAAAGTTTACTTTACTTTTCTTGAGCTCAAATTGACTCAAGTTGGCCAGTTTCTTGAGTGTATTTTTCKTCTGTCTGGAATTTTTCTTACAGTCTCTGAAGTACTTTTAAATTACTTGAATTGGTAGTTTTCCCTCTAAATGTTTCAGTTGCATTTCCGTATATCTGATGTTCCTGATATTACTCTGCATCTCTGCCCATCTTCAGCATCTGTTTTTCACTTCCACTTATACTGTTAAATTTGAGATTGCTTTCAGGGATCACTTGCTTAATTTAGTAGTAACTGTTGTATAACACTTGTTTTCTGTTCTGTCTGAAACAATGATACAAGCAGAGGTTGCAGTGGGATTGGTGGCTTGCCAGATAAGCTTGAGTCTTCTCTTTAGGATAAGAAAAACTTGCCGGCAAAGTTGTTCTCTTAAAATATCATTAGTTCATGATTTTTCTCTCTCTTTTTTTTTTTTTTCCTCATGGTGTTCTGTGACAAGCTCTTCATGCTAAACTTTTCATTTTCATTTCTCTTTAAAAATTTCAAGTAAATTATGACTGGCARTCAGATTGCTCAAGAATTTCTGTAATATGCCCCTCTCAGATTTATAAAAATAAATCTGAAATTTCATCTCCCTTAGTAAGTTAAGTAATATTAAAAATGTCCAGCTTGAATCACACCAATGGTGCCAAATAACCTTTCTGTGCATCCAATTATTTTTACTTCTACAATTATTACAAAGGCAACTGTATGGAATTTATTTTTAATGGGTGAAGCCAAGCTATGAGAAGATTCTAGATTGCTGTGATTTTATTGGATCAGCTAAAAATGCACTTCTGTTTCTGAGGATAAAGTCTTGAACAATATTTTTCCTCTTTTGGTTGAAAATGATATCATGTATATTTTATTCTTTTGAAAATAGACCAGTATTTTTTTTATTTAGTCACGTTATCTCTAGTAAAATAAGCATACTGTTTCTTAGTAGAGAATCCAGAAACATTCTTATCCAAGAGAATATAGATTCCATAATATATTTGCTCTCTTTAAATTGACCAGCTGAATCAGCATTTTAAGGTTATTTTTCATCCTTTCTCTACTAGCATGTAGCAGTACTGTTAGCCATTAAATTCACTGACATTTTATGAAGAATCAGCCTATTATATATATTCTAAGTGCATCTGGAATCTTGAAAAATAGTTAACCTTTACTCTTGTGAAAATATATTTCCAACTGTGCTAAATAACAATTTTATTACAGAAAACAGAACAAGCAGGAAATAGTTTGGGGGGTAGTCACCTGCAGCCTGTTTGCAAGTGTCTTTATGACTAGGTTGGCTCCGAGATTAAAGTAACTCATTTAAGCCTTTAGAGATATATGGTCTTTGGCAAGTTATATTTAGAAGGGAAGAGGTGCAGGTGCAGTAGTTCTTAGCAGGGAAGCTTAGCAGAAGTCAAAAACTAAGGAGRAGATTGAAATAAATTTGATTATATTAATAAAATCAAACCTCAGGAACTGATAAATTTACTCAACATAAATATGTTTGCTGTGTCTGAAGTCAGCTAGAATTCTTTATGCTTTACATTTTAGCATTAATTAAACATAAACAGGGGACCTACGTTGAACTCATTAGTGCAAGTGAGATAGCAGAGGAATTGCTAAATCGTTTGAACAAACTAGTTAGGTTTTTCTAGGTAATTGAGAATGAAAGTAACAAAGCTGCAATATTTATTCTATGGGGATCTTGTCAGCAAGTTTTTAAAACAAGCTCCTCTTTTAATTTTTTTTTTTTTTTAATTATCACATTCTGTGCAGAATATTTTAGTTATGCCATAGGCCAAGCCCATCCTCAAAGCTTTCCCCGTTTGGACAAAARCTCCTGGAAGCTGCTTGTGGCTCTGGAAGCCACCAGGGAGGTTCTAATTAAGAAGATACATCCACAGCTTCAGATTGATGTTTTCTCCTCTCCTGTTGTATCAATGAGATACAGCTTCCCAGTCTTCTATATTGCACCATGTTTCTAAACCAGTGTGTGTCGTGTTTTTAGTTTGCTTTGCTAATGGAGGAAATTAACTTTTAGCACCTGCTGATGTTCCCGTTCTCTCTGACAGGTCCAGAACAGTGGGTCTTTCCCATGCCAGGCTGATCCTGGTGGTTTAAGGGGTGGATTTTGGCWAAAATGACAGTTTCAATCCAGGAGACTAAAGCACAGGTTTTACATCCTGTGCTGATGCTCACACTCCAGCATTTCAGTGGAGTGAGGAGATTTTAAATTATAACCTACCTGTCTGAGGTTTATGTAGGCAGGAAACGTGACTGATTTCTTAAAAAGAAAATTATGAAATGTTGATCTTTAAACAGAACTTGTTGTAAAATACTTTAGAAGCTTCAAAGCCCTTCCTATGTTGTGTATAGCTCATTTCAGTAATAGAGCTTGACCTTCGAAATCTTGTTAATGTACTTCCTCATTAAAAAAAAGTCTTTTTAGTATTCTTAAGGTAAGATTCTGATTTAAGCCTAAATCTGAATAGCTCAGTTGGTGTTCTGGGACTTCTTTCAAGATTTCATAATCAATGTGTTTAAGGGTATATTCCACCTAGTTTGTAAAAGAAGACTGTCATATTAAGAAAGTTTGAAAATATAAGAGAGGATCAAAGCAAGCAAATGCAGAAAACTGTTTTTGTCAGCTTAATTCAACTTATCAGAAAGGCCAGAGAAGGTTATGTGGGTTTTTTTGCAAAATTTTGCTAAACATCAAGTTTTCTGTATGAGCTTAGTCAAAATATAGTTTGCAATAGTACTTGTGGTAGTGAGTCATGTCCTTAATTTTGTCCCTTCTCTCTAACTTGAGCATCATTTTAGAGACATTTAAG